GAGTATGTTTGCAGCCCAGGCGTTGACGACACGCTGAAAGAGCGAACTCTTTCCTTTGTCTTGTCAGATGAAAGACTTAACATATACAAATATCTTGGTCCGTATCTATGGCGTAAATTACCACATGCAATAGCCTTAAGAACGTTAACCGAAATTGACGAATTTCAACTGGAAAATTAGAAAAACTGATTTAGCCGGTCACTTAACTGAAGACAAATGTGGGTCGGAATGCACCTTATTAAGTAGCTCTTAAATCTTTCTTGCTTTGTATATATAAATTTTTAACTCTTAGTATTTTAGTCTACAGTCGACTGTCTCTTAACGGACACCTCTATAAGACGGACACCTCTGTAAAACGGACACTTAGAGTTGGTCCCTGCCTTTCTTTACTCCTTTTATTTGACTCTTTACAAGACGGACACCTCTTTAAGACGGACACTTAGTGCCAGTCCCAAAGGTGTCCGTCTTAGAGAGAGTTGACTGTATTGCTGTACATATATATCATTTTATTTCATAGTGTCCTCAAGTAGCTTATATAGCTAAAGTAACTGACACTTGAATATATTATTATTATTATTGTTATCATTACTGTAGGAATGTCACATTGAAGCTGGCAGAACTGCGTTCATCGTGCCCAGTACACGAACTATAATATCAATAAAAAGAAATCGCCAATATTTAATAGTAGAAAAATAAGAAAGCCCTGAGAATAAATGAAGAAAACGTGCTTTAATTTTCGTGCTCTTTCATGCTTTCTATATTGTATGTTTTGAAATGATGTCGTTAAATTTCAAACAAAATAAGCGAACTAGAACCTGAATGTTTTTGCAATCAAATTCTTGCTTTGTTAAAATGCGCAGAATTAAAAAATATAAATAAATAAAAAGGGTAAGGTGGCATACGGTTATGATGGATTTCTCCTGAACTGATTATGACTTGTAACTGTTTTAAAACGATCAGAAAACGCTTTTTGAACGTTTAAGGAGATTTTTAATTTGTGAACCAGTTGGGGCGGAGGTATTCAAGAAGTCGCCGCCTTTGTTGTAATCTTATACCCATATCTCCCACGGTTAGGCTGAAGGGAGACCTACGATTTACATGGGAAAAACGGACATTCCTGTTGTAAAATCAAATGATTCGCGCCATTACGTGGGAAATGGGAATATTAATTACCGTAATTCGTTATGTTATATTTAGTAGTTATCATTCGTGCGAGGGACCTTCAACCCCCTTTACAGCCCCTTTTCGTGAAGCTATCTTTCTTTATAATTTCTTCCTTTCTTTCTTTCTGTCTTTCTTTCTTTACCAGCTCCAACACTATAGCATTCCTGAACGCGTCTTTGTTAAGATCTGCCTCAGCATTTTTGATATTTTAACTTTGTAGGACTTGTTCTATTCTGGGAAATCCTTCGTCTTGAACAAGACATATAGAATTAAAAATCTCCGCTTCAAGTTTCTTATCTCTGTTTAACAAATAGGAGCAGCACGTATGCCTTATGACATAACATAACATACACTTTATTACGACTCCTCTATACTGGGTTATTCTGTCGTAATATAGATATAATATATATTGTAATAATATTCTGTCTACTGTAACATCATGAAGTAGGAAGTAATTCCCAGTTAGGCATTAAAACATTATACATGAAATTAGGCTACATCACTTAATCTTCAGCCAAAAAAACGAACTTGTTACTGTCATACTATCACTTGCAAGAAGTTCAATGAAAAAGTTGCTTACACAAACAATACAGGTGGGTGATAGAGCATTCGTTTCACTAATACGAAGGTAATAGGTTGAACTCCTGAAGGTCGAGTGAGCACTGGAAATTTCTTTTTTTGTGTGTTACAGACTGACTGCACGTCCCAAGCACAAAATGCTCCTGAAGATTTCATCTCTAACGATGATGAGTGTTTTTTTTTTTGTGATTTTTACAGGCATAGCATAATTAAAACACCAGGGATGAAAAATTCGGCCAATCTTGGCAAGTTTCGATTCATGTCCACCATTGCCATCTCTTGCAATAGACGGTGGGAAATTTAGTTTTAGTGCTTAAATATAGCCTGAAACAATTAACTGGACCATTATTTCTTGAATTCAATTTGCATAGGTAATAGCATGATTAGTAGTGATATTTGGCATAAATACCACGAGTGATATTTCAAAATTGTTATACGTAATTTCACGAGCCGTTAGGCGAGTTAAATCTTAGACAATTTTGAAATATCACGAGTGGTATTCATGCCAAATATCACGTACAAATCATGCTATTATTTGTTTATTTTACTACCCGGAAAGGTTTTGTAATTTTCACATGTAGGTATTTCAAAGTAAGCTGAAATACCACCGCTCTTAGCCAATAAAATCGCAGAAATTTCTTATATAGTAGTAGTATAAATGCGAAAAACGTTTTTGGTTTTTAAAAATATAGCGCATAGTGTGACATAGCCGATTTAAAGGCGAAAGATCACATGAAATTCTTCATGAAAATTATGA